AGGATTTTGAGTTTGTTATCAGATTATTGATGATTTTTTATTTCTTTTTTGGCAGTTTTTAGAAGTTTGATCTAAGTACCTATTCTAATTATGTTGCACACAGGTGCACCCTCTACACCCAAATGTGCATGTATTTACAACTAGACATGTATGAAAATGTCATGACATCCGTTTTTGTTTATAGCTAATGTATACTAATAAAAATTGTTAGTAACCACTATTAACAAAATTTTGTACTTCTGCTTTATCTTATGCTCAACAACTATCTGGACATTAAATTAAACAAGTTAACTAAAATTGCTGTATCTATATTAAGTTTGGGTTTTCCTTCTTAAAATAAAAATTTCCAGGTCGCCTGTGTAGGCATCAGAAACTAGCATTGGTTGAGTGAGCTTCTAATGCAATGTCTCCACTTCGGCTGCATCTTGGAATGCCTGTAAACGCTTTCATTACCCGAGGTCACATCTGAGACCAATTAAATTTGATTCTCTGAAGTCGGACCTAAGCATCTGTAGTTGGCAAAATACCCTTGTGATTTCTGTAAGCATCCAAAGTTAGAGACCTTTGTGCTGACTTGTATTTCCTAAACAGTGCTTTCTTATTTGGAGATAGTGTATAGTGTGTTCCCAGAGAGATAAACTTGTTTTTAGCACTTGAATATAAGATGAATCACCTTTTTCTGAGAAATAATTTAGGGAGGAATCCCTTGCCACACACATCAGCATTTACCATGTTGATCTGTTGTCTTGTTCTGTTGACCCCAGGATGAAGGCATACATTCTCTTATTTACTGCATGTGGTTGTTGGTTTTGATTTGTGGTTGTAATTTTGTGTAGGAGCTGGTCATCAGCAGAGAATGTGTGTCACGGGGAGCTACGCCCTCTGGGAGACTGTGCCTTTGGCAATGTTTAGCTGTAGATGTCCACTCTGGACCATTGTGTGTGCTGTGTACTGATTTCTACTTGGGGATTTTTAGGAAAGAATTCATAGTAGGCATGTCTTGCACTTGTGGTATGCAGAGACCTGTAGTTTGCATTTCTCACATTGTGTAGGTATGCATGGCTTTACGGACATGCCTGAGGCTCTATAGGTTTCTCTGCTATGGGTGAATTTTCTCAGAGCCTCTTGAATGAAACAGTCAATATTTATGGCTACTGTTTATACAGACTTTCACTCGGCTCTCAGGAGGCATGGTGGACCTAGCTCCAACCCTGGGTCCTTCCTCTAGAGTCAATTTGAGCTGGTTTTACCACAGTCCTCAAGGTTTTAATTCTTTTTCAAGCCTATGTCTGAACTGGGGCCCTGTTTCAGCTTTTCTGTTTATTCACTGTGGGTGAAGGGAACTCCTGGTGAGTTTGGTCTATTTGCCAGGCGATCCCCCTCAGGCTTTGCATGCTTTCCAACAGATCATGTGACATGGCAGTTGATTTCTGAGATAGTTTGAAAATATACCAGTTCTTCACTTGTGCAATTACTGTGAGAAATAAAGCTTATCGGGTCAGGGAGAGAATGTGTCTATAGTCACTCATTCCTTTAATATTTAAAGAAGGGCCAGAGGGATAATGAGAATGCCCAGAGAGTGCATTGGTATGCAAGAAGACTTGAACTCAGATCTCCAGCACCCATGTAAAAGGCAGGCATGGTGCATGCTTCTATAGCTACCGTGCCTGGAGTGGGGGTAGGGAAGCAGTTGGATGCCAGAACTTCACTGGCTGGCCAGTCAAGCTGAAGCCACGAGCTCAAAAAAAAAAAAAAAAATGACGTGAACAGCAATAGAGGAAGATACCAGCACATTTGCACACATGTATAGTACACAGATCACACACACACACACACACACACACACACACACACACACACACACACCTTTGAAATCTCTTGTGCTGGCATTGCCTAATATCCAGTGTGGATTTAGAAAGCATGTTTTAACCTGGAGTGCCTGTGCAAACTAAATGCCACGTTGCGGTTGCTCACTTCTGAAAGGCATCACCAACATTTAAAAAATTATTCAATCTGTGTATGTATCTTTAAACATTCATATGCATTAATTATATTTTCTTTTTAAAAATCTTTTTGATCTTACATGTTATGGGTATTTTGCCTGCCTCTACCACATGCATGCTATGCCCATGGAGGCCAGAAGAGGGCATCAGATCCCCTGGGACTGGAGTCATAGATGATTGTGAGGGGTCATGTGAATGTCAGGAATTGAACCAGGTCCACTGGGAGAGCAGCCAGTGCCATCTCTTCACTCTCTTAATTATATATTTTATAAATTAGTATATGGCCCCATGCTTCTAGTTCCTTGGACAGTCTCTCTCTCTTTCTCTCTGAATGTTATATAATCATATAGATTATATATGAATATTCTTGAATATTTTCTAAGTAACTTAAATACTCAGTTGGTGGTTTTTAACCCCTACTTTTTCAGAATTAGCATACCACAGAGATCACTACTGCGTGTTCATCTTTGATTCACATATGATTATATTTTCTTAAGTTAGATTTGTAAAATTGGAATTTCTAGTTAAAAAGTATAAATATTTTTACAGTATTCTTTGCTTACAAAGAATTGGGCTAATTTTTGTATCTATTAACAGGCTCTGAGTGTTCTCACTAAATGCTTGTCAACATTGATCATTGCATTTTCAACTTCATTTCAGTAATTTTATCCATGAAAAACTGAACTCCCATTTTAAATGTTCTGTGACTATCCAGAAAACCTTTTATTTCTGTATTTCAGTTTTCTGTTTGTGTTTTTGTAGATGCTCCAGAGTAAGCTGTGTAAAATCCTATGCCTGCTTTGTGTATGAGAAGTTAATTGGGACTTTTTTTTTTGATTGATTCATAAGGTGTCTCTTTATGAAGGATCTATTAATGTTTTAGTATAAGTGTTATAAGTAGCACTTTTAGACTTGTTTTTTTATGTAGCAGAAGTTAATTTTATATAGTAGTGAGCAGTGTTTTGTTATATTTTGCTCAGTTATTCTTGTGCTTATCAAATCTTAAACTAATCCAATTTTCTTCTATAATTTATACTCTTGTACTTTAATGCTTAGAAATAACCTTCATCTTTCAAAATTTCATTTTTGTATGTGGTATAAAATACTCAAGGCCACAACATCACATAAAGTTGATTTAAAAAAAAACAAACAAACCTGTATTTTCATTCTCTTTCAGCCAAACTCATTCTACACTTTACCTGTATGAAAATATTTGCAGTTAGAATGTGTGGTCTAAAAGATGGCTTGGTGGATAAATATACTTGCTGTGCAAGCCCAGTGTCCTGAGCTCAGTCCCTGTGACCCATAATAGAAGGAGAAAACCAGCATCCCCCAAATTATCCTGACTGCTGCATGCACAGGCATATACACACACATACACACATGCACACAAACTTTATAAAAAGGAAGAGTATGCATTCAGAACACAGAGGAATGAGCAATTATGTGGACGTTGGAGGGCTTGCTGAGTTTCTGACTGTTTTCTTCCCTGAGGTTTGGCTTGTGCAATTCCCAATCAGCTTTAAATTGGATCTGTAGGAGCCAGAAAGTGCTGAGCACACACCAGAGCATGGATATTTGCACTGTCTCCTAGCTCCCCAGAGCCTGGCTTGTTTATGGATTGTGACCCACGAGTGCCTCTGTCATACATTTTCAGAAGGCAAACTGGCAATCAAATTCTGTGGTAATTGTTTCCTTCTGTGTGGATTTTTCCAGCCCAAACTGCCTGGCAAGAATGATACTGGCTTCTCAAAGTAGAAAGGGACCAGAAGTTAGATGCCAGGCACATGGCCTTTACAATCCAAGTGCCCTAAAAAAAAAAAAAAAAAAAAAAAAAATCCTTTAAACTACATTTTATGGAGGACTTCTCATTCCGAAAGCACATGTCAGACTCTGTGAGGTCAGTTTAGGCTTTTCTGTAGTTGAATGATAGGGTTCAGAAAGATAAAAAAAACAGTCCCATTTTAGACATACTAAATTAGAAAGAACTGACCCCACACATCTCAGACCTCTGAGAAAATCTGGGCACTTATTTCTTTCTCTTCAGCTATTCACTCGAGTGTGTGTGCAACCATTTGAACAAGTGGTATTTCAGCATCTGCTGGATGCCAGGGACGCAGGTCTGCCTGGTGTAGATTCTGTTCTCAGCGTCCATGCTATCCACCATGGGGAGACGGGCTCTGGATGTACATAGGAATAATACAGTTTTAATACAGCAATCTCCCAATTGGAGCACCCAGGGCATCTACATCACTATAATCAGTTAGCAAAATGAATATAGTAATCCTTGTCCTTTACTGTGGTCAGTTAACCCAAGTAACTCAAATAGCCTTTGCCATTTGTTTCTTTGTAAGTCCGTGATTGGTAATGTTCCATAGGGATGGCCCATGTTACTTTATCTGGGATGTCTCATCTCCATTTGGAGAACCCCGGATGGCTTCATTCAGTCTGTCACCACAGGGAGGTGGCTGGTGGCAGCTGGGGCTATCTTTCCTGCAGAGTAGCTGGCCTTTGTTAGAAGGTAATTGGCAGGAGGTGTCAATCCTCTTAAGTCCCAGACTGTGATTGGCACAGTCACTGCCATGGTGTTCTAGTGATAGCAGTGACCAGGCCCAGGGAGAGGAATGGAATGCCCGTAGGGAGGAGTCTGGAGTAGCCATCTGTGCCGTCTAACACTGACTTAAAAGAAAACAAATGCATTTGTAAAAGGTGAGGAATTGGGTCTCACTGGTGTTAGTCACTGGTGAGGGCTGCCTGTGTTTTATCTGTTGTCTTCATGTGTGAGTTTTGTATGTCAGGCTCCATGGGCTGTACCCAGCTCGATGGGCCTCTCTTTCTACCATTCTAGCTCAAAATAAAGATGCTGCTGTCACATGTCCATGTGAGGTGGGAGTGAGCCTTCGGCCCATTCCCTCTTCTCATTCTCTCTGTTCTTGAGACAATCACTCTTGTGACATTACTCTTCTCACCAAGGTCTCCATCTCTCTTTTGTCCCAGGCACTAAAGCAGTTGCAGATGTTGGTGATGGGACCTGTGAGCCTGAGCTGTCTCCTTCATCTTCCGGTATGAACTCTGTACCTGTGCTCCATCTCATTGAGGACCTGAGACTGGCTCTGGAGATGTTGGCACTTCCTCAGGAAAGAGAAGCCCTCCTGAGCCAGGTCCCTGGCCCAACAGCTGCCTACATAAAGGAGTGGTTTGAAGACAGCTTGGTGAGTTGGTTTATGGTGTGATAAGGGAATTGTGGGACATGCAATTATGCAACAATGGAATGTTACCAGTGGCCAGACCTAAGGATGTCTGTCTGCATCTCCCAGTCCTGTCTTACTTCCCATATAGCTTTGGGTACATCGCCACTGGGTGGTCTTCAGCAGGAGTAAAAATCCTAGTCAAGCTATTTAAGCTATTTATTCTGCCTTCCTTTGGTCTACAGTCACTCTCTTCTAAAGTGAGAAAATCCAGGTCAAACAGACACCCCTAAATATGTGATTTGCTAGACTCCCTTACTGGAGTTTTAACCCACAACCTAAAGCCTGTTTGCTTCATTCATTTCTTTGTTTCTGCCCATGATCCGATCCTCGCCCTAGAACTACTTCTTGCCCCAAAAGTGTAATGGAGATTTTTTTTTTAAACTTCTTTTCTGCTTCTCCTGATCAGGCCTGGGGACTTACTGGTCTGTAGGGGAAGGGGATGAGTAGTCAATCTGCAGACTTGCTATAGCTTTAAAGCATACAAAGCATCTAAGATGAGGAGCTGGCTCATTCAGGTTAGCTAAGATGTGGCCATTGAGGACCAAGGGAAGGATGCTGGGAAGCCAGAGAAGGATAAGAGGGAGTGAAGGAGGGTACCCTAGTGTAGTCACCTAAGCTTGATTTGAGGATGAAGGCTGGAGTATAGTCTTCTAATGCTAGAACCCTGAAGACCTGTTCAGAATTAGAAAACATGTGCAGAGGTGGGAGGCAGGAACAGGAACATCAAATTGGGAGGGAGAGGTTGATCTTGGAAGTTGAGACATCCTTATCCATAAATTATGTCATTTATGATTAAACAGCCTCCATTCTAGATGCCTTAGTGTCCTTTCTGTTCTAGAGGGATCTGTCAGCAAATCTCATCCCATGCCATCCTCAACACTGACCAGTTCCTCATTATCTTCATTACATGTGTTATTCAATATTTTCATTATATAGGCTGCTGTCTAGTGTGTGTGTCATGCACCCGTACAGGGTAGTACAGGGATGTACCTCAATTTATGTGGCAGTCTTTCTAATGCTGACATTTAGATTGTTTTAAGCCTTTCACCAGATGTGGCATTGCCGCAGTGACTGTCTTTTTCTAGAAGTGTAATTGTAGAAATCAAGGTAAAATCTAGAATGTCCAGTTAAACTTGGTTTTTAGATAAGCAGTGAAAAACAGTGATCAGTTATTGCTTGAGCAGTTGGTTAAACCTGGCAACCATAATCCACAAATGTTAATATCTTTAAGCCTTTCACACATTTTTCTAAATCTCTTTTCAGAAGAATTTTATTTTCTTTATTTTCATTGGCTCAGTTTGAAGCAAGTCTATCCCATGTTATCCTAAGTTCAGATATAATCACCACAATTAAAAAAAAAATGGCTTTAGCAGTTTCAAAAGGGAAAAAGGTTTACTGCTGTTCTTGTACATTTTTTCTCTAGTGAAGGCTAACTGTTCTTTTATTAGCTTATTAGTATTCTCTACAGTTTCTAAGCTTTTCATCTCATACCCTGCATGAAAATATTCCTCGTATATACATAGTCACATATAACTTGTTTTACTAATACAGTTAAATTATCAAAGTAAGATGTTCAAATGGAGGCTCTAAAAGGTTAAGTCCAAAAATAGTTCTAAAATTTCTTCCCACACAGCCTGGTTACCACCGTAACCCCTTGGGCAGGTCTGTTTTTACCCTCTGTTTATATCTTGTGCTCATTTTTTTCTATTGGTGTTTTGTTGTTACCATATTGAAATGACCTTTTATTTTATTTGGGCATGTAATTTCCTAAGTGCTATGCTTTTCAAGCCATAGGGTTTTAGAAGATTGTAGTTAACTCTATCACTCTTAACCGTTTGGGTCTCTTCTTTGTTGCCCTACAAAGGCCTGACAATCTCACAGCAAATATCTAGGTATCTGCTTCTTCCTCCAATAGGTTCATGGTTTGACTTCTGTGTCACAGTTCACACAAATACATTGCTATTTTTAATGTGTGGCATGAAAAAAATTGATCTAACCTTTAAAATATTTGGGGGAAATGTATTAAAAATAATTTTGTTCAAATGCAGTCGACATGGTGCTTGGGGAAACACCTTGTGTTCAGGGTTGCACACATTTTTAGTGTGTGCAAATCAGCCACATTTTTAGTGGCTGATTATTTATAATGATAGCAAGAATCCACAGCTTAAGACCAATCCCTCTAAAAGCTATTGAATCCATAAATCTTTTAGAGTAATTGTGCCTGTCAGCCACCTATGAATGGTGTACTTTCCTGGGGTCAGAAGTTCACGTAAACATTCCAGGAAACCAGAGCTGCATGTTAAGGTTTGATTCTGAGCAGAAATGGCCTGTCTGCTTTTTAGGTCTGGCTGACCTAAAGTCAGCTTACACTCTGCTCTACACGCATTCCACACTAGGTCTCGTCTGTACAGCCACTAATTCAGAGCAGTGAACAGGTCACTGGGTGCTTTAGGTTGGTCCTTGTGGTGAAAGATTTGCCACACAAATTTTGCTCTATTTGGCTAGGAGCATGTGAAAAGATGTCTACTTCAGATCAGGCATTAAACTATCTTGAAGTGATTCATTAAAATTTAAAAGCATTGCTTTAATCACTAAGATGCCACTTGATTTTATTTTAAGACTTCTTGTTTAGACAGGGTCTATATAGCCCTGGTTGTCTTAGAACTTGCTGTGTAGACGAGGCTGGCTTGAACTCATAGAATTCTTTCTGCCTTTGCCTCCTGAAAGCTAGGATTAAAGGCGTGTGCCATCATGCCAAGTTTGTTTTTTTGTTTGTTTGTTTAAGACCTTTAGGTAGATTAAGATTGGAGTTGGAATGAGAAAAAGCAGTTTAAGGGAGCAGGCAGGATGAACCTGTTTCTCCTGTTCAACACAGACTGCACATTAGGTGCCTGTCTGTGTCTTGTAGACAGACATGCCTCAGAGTTGCTGTTTTGTTGTTGTTGTTGTTGACATAGTCCAGCTCTGCCTCATAACATCACTCTCTGTTGGAGTACTTTCTCCTAACAAAGCAGCGTCAACAGGGTTAGATCACTAGAAAAGTGGGGAGGCTGAGCATGCCCACATGAAGTTACTGGCTCTAGATGACTTCAAAGGCTCCAGCTCCTCCCTCCTTTCTGTCCCACCATCTCCTCAGGCTGGAGTTTCATCAGGTGTATACTTCAGTGGCTGATGAAGCTAAGGTGCCATGTCTTCACATGGCTCTTCAGCTCTGTCCAGAGTTGATCAGTTTCTTTTGATCAATATGTCCATTTTTATTTATTTTTAATTAAAGAGGGAGGTGTTTTTCTGAGATCCTCCAGCACCCTTCCCATTGGTCCAGTGGCCAAGATACTACTGGAGCATTAGAGGAAGCTAGAAAAGAATAATAGGGCATTTAGACCAAGAACAACTTGGGTACCCCTGCTCAAGACATATAAGGTTTCAGATTTGGAACATTTTAGATTTCAGAATTTTAAAATTTTATTTTATATCTTTTGATTGGGTATGCTTTCCAAGTAGATTCTGTGTATTTAATAATAATAATAAAATCTTTTTTAGAAAAGCAAAACAAAACAAACAAACAAACAAACAAAAAAAAAAAAAACAACTAAAATACTGCCAGTCTCAAGCATTACAGATGAGAAATTCACCCTACCTTGACTTCAGTAAGTAGTCCAAGGTGAGCTGAGGTCTGGCTTGCAGAAGGTAGCTGCTTTCAGAAAGGAAGAGTAGAGGGAAAGAATGGCCCCTAGGAAGACATTCCAAAATGTTTATGGCGAATATGTATATGAGTGTGTGTGTGTGTGTGTGTGTTTATTTATTTATTTTCCTAGTTAACCAGCCAGTCATTTCTAAATTTCCTTTTTATAATTTATTTTTGATACAAGCTCTTAGGATAGGCGTGCACCTAGTTTTAGGTGATGCTGGTGTTGAACCCAGGACCTGTTACATACTAGCAAAGCACTTTACCAAATGAGCTACATCCCCAACATGCTTGTCCATTAAAACCTCAAATCCACAAAGCAAAGAATCTCATTGAGCTGCTAAATAAGTTTAGTGCTAAGTCCTGCAGGTGCATAAAAATATTAAATGCCAGTGAAATAGAAATATAAAACTTAAATATTTCTTGGTATGTGCGTGTGCCTGGTTATGTGTGATGGTGTATGTGGAGGTCAGGGGATTACCTTGGGTGTTGTTCTTCACCCTCTGCCTTGTTTCTAAGACAGGATCTTTTTTTTTTTTTTTTTTGTCATTACTGGCTCTCTGGCCCATGAGCTAACAAGGGAGTCTTCTGTTCTCCTGCCTCCCATCTCACCATAGGTAAGTTGTGATTACAGATACACTCCACATCTGGCTTTTAGGTGGGTTCTGGGGATCTGAACCCAGGCTGTCAGGCTTTCACACACAGGATTTGCTTTCATTCACTGAGCTGTCTCCCTTTTCAACAGAACTGAAGATTAGCTACCCTTGTGTCAGATGACCTTTGCTGGTCAGAGAGGAAGGATTATGGTCTTGGGAAGTATGGCTTCCTGCTGCTGCAGTTCTTCAGGGATGCTAGCTCTTTAGACACCATAGGGTCCCTAAGATAAAGGGGCTTGCTAGGTATGTAGCATTGGCTATGGGGGATTGCCTATCTATTAGGATAGGACAATAGATGGAGAGGGAGCTCCTGGTCCTGCTGTGTCAGAGTGGACAGCTGGGTGTGTGCAAGCATAGGGCTTGTTCCTTCTACCTCTCTGGGGCTGAGGCACAGTTGTAGCATCATAGCCAGCAAGAGTCTTGGTCAGAATCTGCCAGGATTACCTCAGAGAGCAGCAGACCTGCCCAAGATTGATCAGTGCTAAGCTATAAGTTTCTAGAGCTAGGAGGCCTAGACCCTTGCCCTGCCCTTTGACAATACCTAGGATGAGAAGTGGCCTCCAGGCTTGACAGAGGGTTTGCAGGGCTCTCTGACCCAGTATTTGTCCCCAGGGTGTCAG